TCTTCCAGACGGACGGGAAGGACTACAAGGCAGGGCGCGTGGTGGAGGACCTCATCAGCCACTACGTGAAGATCTTTAATGTAGGTTTACCCCCCCTCTGGCGCTGCTCTGGACCGGGTCCATGCGTGGACGTTCCCAGGGGATGGGGAGGTGAAAGGAGGAGTGGTCAGCCCTGACGGCTCCCTGGGCTCCTCTTCCTTGGCAGGTCAACGACCAAGAGATGAAGAAGCAGCAGGACGAGATCATGGCCATCATGAAGATGAGGGAGGCAGCGTCCAGTGGGACGCAGGTGAGTTCTGGACATGGGGACCTTCCACCACCCTCTTTGCATGGGGCCCCCACTACTTCCTCCAGCTTCTCCTGGAGATGCCCTGGGCAGGGGGTGTCCATACTGGGTGGGGGGCATTTAGCCCACGCGTGGGAAGCTGCAGGTTGACGTGCTTTCCCGTTGCCCTCCAGCAAGCTGGGGACTTCATCTGCACTGTCTACTTGGAGGAGAAGAAGACAGAGGCAGAGCAGCACGTCAAGGTGAGCAGTGGGGTGGAGGGGACAGGGACCCACTGTTACATGCCCAAACCTCTGTGGTGGCATGGGGACACGCTCTGAGCTGGCACCTCTGTGGCATGAGGGTGGAATGGCCCTGGACACCGGCTGATGGAGACCTGTCCCCTCCCTCCATCCTTCCCTGCCAGATCCCAGCCACGATGACAGCCGAGGAGCTCACCTTTGAGATCCTGGACCGGAGGAAAATAGTCGTGAAGGAGAAGGACTATTGGAGCTGCTTCGAAGTGAACGAGAGGGAGGAGGCAGGTTGGTGCAGGGGCATGAGGGTGGTGAGGACGAGGATGGGGTTGGAGATGGAGATGAGCATGGGGATTGGGATGGAGGTGGGCTAGGGATGGCAATGGTGGTGGTGGTGGTGGTGGTGGTGGTGGTGGAGATGGGGATGGGGATAGGGATGGAATGGGGATGGTGATGGAGGTGGGATGGAGGTGGAGATGGGATAGAGATGGGCATGGTGATGGAGATGGGATAGGGATGGGAATGGTGGTGGTGGTGGAGATGGAGAATGGGATGGCAATGGGATTGGGGTGGATGGAGATGGAGGTGGAGATGGAGGTGGGGATGGGGATGGGGATGGAGAGGGGGATGGGGATTGGGATTGTGATGGAGATGGAGTTGGGATAGGGATGGGGATGGTGATGGAGATGGGATAGGGATGAGGATGTGGATGTGGATGGGGATGGGGATGGGGATGGGGGGGGGGATGGGATGGAGATCGAGATGGGAATGGGCAAGGAGATGGAGCTGGAGATAGGGACAGAGATGGAGGTGGGTATGGGGCTGGACATGGAGCTGGGGACAGAGATGAAAGTGGGGATGGGGATAGAGATGGAGGTGGAGATGGGGACGAGAAGGCTCCCATGGGGCCTCCACCACAGAGCGATGCTGGGATGGGCTCCAGGTGCTCGGGGGAGGACGGCTGTGGGGCCGCAGCTTTGCTCGCCGCATACGGGTTGCACATGGCCAAGCGCCGCAGCCGGGCCAGTGCTTTGGGCCAGGACCCCGCTCGGTCAGACCCGTCTGCGTCCTCGGGGGCTCACACGCCTCTGCAGCACGGCGGGACGGGGACGGGGGCGTCC